CATGGTCCCCATGGGTTCCTATGGGGTCAGGGAGTCTCTATGGGGCCACTGAGGTTCCTATGGGATCAGAGAGTTCTTTAGGGATTCTATGGGGTCACTGTGGTCTCTATGGGATCCCATGGGGTCAGGGAGTCTCTATGGGGTCACAATGGTTCCTATGGGATCCTATGGGGTCAAGGGGTCTCTATGGGGTCACCATGGTCCCCATGGGTTCCTATGGGGTCAGGGAGTCCCTATGGGGTCACTGAGGTTCCTATGGGGTCAGGGGGTTCTAAAGGGATCCTATGGGGTCACTCTGGTCTCTATGGCGTTCTATGGGGTCAGGGAGTCCCTATGGGGTCACTCTGGTTCCTATGGGTTCCTATGGGGTCAGGGAGTCCCTATGGGGTCACGGAGGTTCCTATGGGGTCAGGGTGCCCCTATGGGGTCACAATGATCCCTATGGGATCCTATAGGGTCTGGGAGTCTCTATGGGGTCACTGAGGTTCCTATGGGGTCAGGGGTCCGTATGGGATCCTATGGGGTCACTGTGGTCTTTATGGGATCCTATGGGGTCAAGGGGTCTCTATGGGGTCACCATGGTCCCCATGGGTTCCTATGGGGTCAGGGAGTCCCTATGGGGTCACTGAGGTTCCTATGGGGTCAGGGGATCCTTATGGGATCCTATGGGGTCAGGGAGTCTCTATGGGGCCACTGAGGTTCCTATGGGATCAGGGAGTTCTTTAGGGATTCTATGGGGTCACTGTGGTCTCTATGGGATCCTATGGGTTCAGGGAGTCTCTATGGGGTCACTGAGGTTCCTATGGGGTCAGGGGGTCCCTATGGGACCCTATGGAATCTGTCTGGTCTCTATGGGGTCCTATGGGGTGACCATGGTCCCTATGGGATCCTATGGGGTCAGGGAGTCTCTATGGGGTCACTGACGTTCCCATGGGGTCAGGGGGTCTCTATGGGATCCTATGGGGTCACTGTGGTCTTTATGGGGTCTTATTGGGTCAAGGGGTCTCTATGGGGTCACCATGGTCCCCATGGGTTCCTATGGGGTCAGGGAGTCCCTATGGGGTCACTGAGGTTCCTATGGGGTCAGGGAGTCCTTATGGGGTCACTGAGGTCTCTATGAGGTCCTATGGGTTCAGGAAGTCTCTATGGGGCCACTGAGGTTCCTATGGGGTCAGGGGATCCTTATGGGATCCTATGGGGTCTGTCTGGTCTCTATGGGGTCCTATGGGGTCACTCTGGTCCCTATGGGATCCTATGGGGTCAAGGGGTCCCTATGGGGTCACCGTGGCCCCTATGAGTTCCTATCGGGTCTGGGAGTCTCTATGGGGTCACTGACGTTCCCATGGGGTCAGGGGTCCGTATGGGATCCTATGGGGTCACTGTGGTCTTTATGGGATCCTATGGGGTCAAGGGGTCTCTATGGGGTCACCATGGTCCCCATGGGTTCCTATGGGGTCAGGGAGTCTCTATGGGGCCACTGAGGTTCCCATGGGGTCAGGGGGTCCTTATGGGATCCTATGGGGTCACTCTGGTCTCTATGGGGTCCTATGGGGTCACTATGGTTCCTATGGGATCCTATGGGGTCAGGGAGTCCCTATGGGGTCACTGAGGTTCCTATAGGATCCTATAGGGTCTGGGAGTCTCTATGGGGTCACGGAGGTTCCTATGGGGTCAGGGGGTTCTTAAGGGATCCTATGGGGTCACTCTGGTCTCTATGGGATCCTATGGGTTCAGGGGGTCCCTATGGGGTCACTATGGTTCCTATAGGATCCTATAGGGTCTGGGAGTCTCTATGGGGTCACGGAGGTTCCTATGGGGTCAGGGGGTTCTTAAGGGATCCTATGGGGTCACTGTGGTCTCTATGGGATCCTATGGGGTCAAGGGGTCTCTATGGGGTCACCATGGTCCCCATGGGTTCCTATGGGGTCAGGGAGTCCCTATGGGGTCACTGAGGTTCCTATGGGGTCAGGGGGTCCTTATGGGATCCTATGGGGTCAGGGGGTCCTTATGGGGTCCTGGGGACTCTTAAAGGGCCAGCGCTCACCTCGATGTGCGACAGCAGCCCCGAAAAGGACACGTCCATCCCCTTCACCACGTAGGGCAGCTCCAGCAGCCGTGTTCCCCTGCAGCAACACGCCACCACACGCGTGACGACACGCGTGACCACGTGTGGTAAGAAGCACGAGAACACGTGGGAACATGCAATAAACACGTGAGAGCGCAGCAGGACGCGTCAGACATGACAACACGCGATGACACGCGTGACCACGTGTGAAAAGAGGCGGGAGAACACGTGAAGACGCGCGGGAACGCGTGGAAGAGGGGTGTGAACACGTAACACGCTGTGACACGTGACGACACGCAACCACACACGTGACGATGTCCAGCAACACGCGTGGCCACGTGGAGGAAGAGGGAACGCGTGAAAACACGCCGACAACACGTAGCAACATGTGAGAACACGGCATGTTGGCACATGTAACAACACGTGACCACACGTGTGACAACATACGACAACATGCATGACCCTATGTGACAAGAGCTGTGAGGACACGCAAAAACACGCGGCCAACGTGTGAGAACACGCGAGGACACACCAGAAAACACGACGTGTTTGTGACGTGCGTGACGACACACGATAACACGCGTGACCAGATGCTACAAGAAGCACAACAACACACGACCGACACGCGAGAACACGCAAGAACACGCCAAGACACCCGATATGTCGTGAGGCGTGACGACATACAACAGCACACGCGACGACACGCGTGGCCGCGCGCAACGGGAGGCTTGAGAACACGTGAGAACACGTGAAAACACACGAAAAAGATGAGAGCACGGGAGGAGACGCGAGGAAACACAGCAAACACGCAACGACACGACAGGAAACGGCCACGTCGGACCTCACACGCGTGAACACGCGTGACAACATGCGTGAACACGCGTGACGCCGCACCCCTCCTCACCTCTTAGCCATCTGCTCCACGTTGTAACCCGGGCTGGGATCGTTGGAGATCTGCATGCGACAACAACACGCGTGTGAGGGGATGCTGACACGCTTACACACGCGTGTGCGAGGCGCGACACGCGTGTTGGCGTGACCTGGAGGAGCCGAGCCACGCGATCCAAGCAGTTCCCAACTGCAATGTCCAAAGTTTCCCCAAAAATCCGGTAGCGGCGGCGCGAGAAGGCGATCACCTGCGGGGAACACGCGTGTGCTGGCGTGTTGTGGCGTGTTGTGGTGTGTTCTGGCGTGCTGGGGTGGTGTGTCGCCCCCCCGGGTGCCGTCACGGGGTTTTGGGGGGTGTTTGTGGGTGTTGTCATGTGATGTCGTGGCGTGTGGTCACGTGTCGGGGCAGGCGGTCATGTATGTTGTCACGTGTGGTCACGTGTTGAAGTCACGTGTCGGCTCCCAGGCGCCATCTTGGGTCTCTGGGGCGTGTTTGTGGGTGTTCACGTGTACTGAGACACACGACTGTGATCTGCCATCACGCGTGTTGACACGTGAGCTCACATGTTGTCACATGTGATCACGTGTCGAAGCCGTGTGTCGGTTTTTTGGGTGTTCCTATGTGATTTTAGGGGTGTTTGTGGGTGCTGTCACGTGTCGTGGCGTGATGTCACGGCGTCTGGTCGCATGTCGGGGCAGGCGGTCACGTATGTTGTCACGTGTGGTCGCGTGTGGTCACGTGTCGAAGTCATGTGTCGGCTCCCAGGCGCCATCTTGGGTCTCTGGGGCGTGTTTGTGGGTGTTCACGTGTACTGAGACACACGACTGTGATCTGCCATCACGCGTGTTGACACGTGAGCTCATGTGATCTCACATGTGATCACGTGTGATCACGTGTCGAAGCCGTGTGTCGTGTTCTGGGTGTCCCTATGTGATTTTAGGGGTGTTTGTGGGTGCTGTCACGTGATGTTGTGGCGTGTGGTCATGTGTCAGGGCAGGCGGTCATGTATGTTGTCACGTGTGGTCACGTGTTGAAGTCACGTGTCGGCTCCCAGGCGCCATCTTGGGTCTCTGGGGCGTGTTTGTGGGTGTTCACGTGTACTGAGACACACGACTGTGATCTGCCATCACGCGTGTTGACACGTGAGCTCACGTGTTGTCACATATGATCACGTGTGATCGCGTGTCGAAGCCGTGTGTCGGGTTCTGGGTGTCCCTATGTGATTTTAGGGGTGTTTGTGGGCGTTGTCACGTGATGTCGTGGCGTGTGGTCACGTGTCGGGGCAGGCGGTCACGTATGTTGTCACGTGTTGTCACGTGTTAAAGCACCTTTTTGGCCTACAGTGGGTGCTTCTGGGTGCTGCCTTCCCCCCTTCACCCCAAATCGCCCCCACATCACCCCAAAAACCCCCCCAAC